TCAAGGCAGGCAGGGCACAGCCTCCCGCCTCCACCAGTTCCCAGACCTTGGCCCCTCCCCCTGCCGTGTCCTCACCAGTCCCCCACTCCTGCCCTCATCACACTTCCCCTTCCTCTGCCTCTCAAAACTCAACCCTCCACAAAGCCTTCTCCAACTAAGTGTCTGTGACAGGACTTCCTGCTTCCTGCTCCCCTCGAGGGACCAGCCACTTCTGTGATCCCCCTAAATGGCTGTGTTTGAAGATATCCAGGGCGGACAACAGAAACAAGCTCTCAGAGAGGTGGCCCCAGGCTCAGTCCCCGCCCCACCTCAGCTGTAGTGTGTGGCAGCTCCCTCTCCCTAGGGTGAACGGACAGGCCCTGTCATGCACAGCCCTGCGGGCCTCCGTGTCAGGTGCCAGGCTGCACAGATTTGCAGTAAAGCCCCATGCCCAGCCCAGCACGCCCACGGAGAAAGCCTTCCCTCAATCCCCTGGGACTCTGAGGCAGCTGGGGTTGGGGGAGGCCTGACATCCCCTCTGCTCCTCTGGTCAGGGGTTTCTCACTGTGCAGGACCCTGCCCAATAAAAAGGCCGGGAAATAACAGTCACAGAAATTACCCCCACCAGCGGGAGTTTCCACAGGGCAACAGCTCCCGGAGTGGCACACAGTGACTGTGCTTCCTCGCAGACTCGGGGCCCAGTCTGCCCCTCCGTGTTTCATGCACGCCTGCCAGGGCTGGAACACTGGGGCCATCGAATCCCTCCTTTTACAGATGAGGACACTAAAGCCCAGAGGGATAGGTCTGAGGCCATAGGACAAGCCAGAGCTAAAACCTGGTCCTCTGGCTTAAGATGCTCTCATTTAAGTTCAAGTTCAAGTTCACACCCCCCTACAGAGACCCTCAGAGAAGAGGTTCACTGATTTGGAGCCTCTGCAGGCACCCCCAGCCTGGCACCCACAGTCCGGTCTCTCCTCTGTGTGGGGGCACACCCTGCTGGCTGAGAAGATCTGGACCTGCACAGGACCTCAGGCTGCTTCCTGCACCTGGAATCCAGCCCTAGCCTGGAAATTCCTGGCCCAGACCCCAGACCCCAGACTCCAGGCTCCAGGCAGGGAGAAACACACCAGCTAGGCAGCAGCCATCTCAAAGCCTCGTTCATCTACCTGGGCCACCGCTTTCCCAAAAGAGAGGAATTTGCATTTCTCCACATGGCCACCCCCCAGGGTCTCTAGAACCTGCCCATGCGAACTACAGTGTGAAGGACAGTCTTCTAAAACAGGCACCGGCCGGGTGCGTTGGCTCACGCCTGGAATCCCAGTACTTGGGAGGCCATGGTGGGCAGATCACTCCAACCCAGGAGTTCCAGACCCACCTGGGCAGCATAGCGAGATCCCATCTCTACAAAACATAAAAAGCTTAGCCAGGCTTGGTGGCACACACCTGTAGTCCCAGCTACTGGGAGGCTGAGGCAGGAGACTCACTTGAGCCCAGGAGATCGAGGCTACAGTGAATTGTGACAGCACCACTACACTCCAGCCTGGGTGACATTTTTGAGCCCCTGTCTCAAAAATAAATAAATAAAAATAAAATAAAATGGGCACCTGCTGGAGAAGTGCAGGTAAACAGCCAAAAAGAACCACTGCCCTCCCAGAGTGCTGCCTGGCCCCACAGCCTCAGGGCCACCAGGCCCACAGCCTCTGGCAGGCACTGTTCTGCTCTGGGCTTTCAGCCTGCTGCTTCACCAGGGGAGAAGGGCTGCCTCAGCTAGCTCTGGGCAGAGGAAGGCTGGAAATGGAGCTGGGACCTGGAATTGGGTGGCAGACTGCCCTGGGAGATGAGTGCAGATGTCCCAGGCTGAGCCCTTCACCTCCCAGTGGGAAGTGAGGGCTGCAATTATGAAGGAGGAAGCGGGGTAAAACCGCGGCAGGGAAGGGGCTCCTCCTTCCCCAGCCCTGCAGCCAGCCAGCACGAGGCCCAACGTCGCTGCCCAGTTACAATGCTGAAAACAGCTCTGGAATCCAGTGAGTACTCAATAAATAGCAGCTACATCATCATCACGGCTATTCTTACTTGCTAGTGCGTTCAAGCTGTCATCTCCCTGTGCCTACTTTACAGTCATCTCCATTGTGACAATTACCCTGGGTGTACAGATGGGAAAGTCACACCCGGGGAGATTAGGGAGCCACACAAGGGCACAGGCCAGCAGCAAGATGGTACTGAACTAGAGCTAGAACGTGCCTCTTTCTGCAGACCCTGTACCCCCGAGGACCTGGGGAAGCAGGGACTGCAAATCCTGCACTTGCAGGGTAAAGGCCGTGGGCACCCGTCCCAGGGCTGCATCTGCCTGTGTTGACCCAGCGTCACCTGTGCCTAAGGTCACGGTGGGGGTCAGAGTCGGGAGGTTTCCTTTGCCAGGTCACCTGGGATTGTAACACACAGACTTCCTCACTGCCTGCAAGCTTCCTGCATCGCCACCGGCATCCCAATCTCTACCAGCCCCAAGGGGTTTCTTTAACAGGCCCAGGCTGCTAGTCTGTACATTGATCTTCCAGCCGAGGAGGCCTGCAACCCTCCTAGGCACCTTAAGTGCTGTGGCACGAGGCCCGTGGGCAGGAAAGCACTGTGTTCAGTGGCAGTGATATGTCTGCTGGGAGGACAACCAGCACCAATGTCTGGGGGCTTCCCTCAGAGAAAGGAAGAAGAAAACCTCACATCAGAAACTTAGCATGACCAGGACAGTAAGGAACTCACATCCCTCAAATACTAGCTGCAATTACAGGTAACACTTCACTCAAACAGTAAACAGAAATGGTCACCTCGTATTAAGCCTGGCTAAAGTCTGCAAAACCATTTTGGAAGAAGTCTGTTTATTTTTATTTTTTTATTTATTTTTTGAGATGGAGTCTGGCTCTGTCACCCAGGATGGAGTGCAGTGGCACAATCTTGGCTCACTGCAACATCCACCTCCCGGGTTCAAACGTTTCTCCTGCTTCAGCCTCCCAAGTAGCTGGGACTACAGGCGCACATCACCACACCCAACTAATTTTGGTATTTTTAGTACAGACGGGGTTTCACCATGTTGGCCAAGTTGGTCTCAAACTCCTGACCTCAAGTGATCCGCCCACCTCACCGTCCCAAAGTGCTGGGTTTACAGGCGTGAGCCACTGTGACCGGCCCCTGTTTATTTTTGGAGACAGAGTAATAAGTACTTTGCCAGGGCCATTTCAGTGCCATGGGCCTGAAGCTGTCCTTAGTTTTCATAGGCTGGCTGCAGTCCTGAGAATTCTCATATGGTTTATGTTTAACCACACATCTCCACAGGGCTCCAGCCCCACTCACAGACCGAACCGCTGCTTAGCATGCACTCAGTGCACCCACGGGCAGCGTCCAGCCGAGGGGGCATTGCACACAGCCCGCCTGCCCCAGGGTTCAGGCACACCTGAGAGACTGATGGAGGGAAACTGACCCTTTGGGGAGTGCCATGGCTGGGCCCGCCCTGCCGGACCTCCAGGTGCAGCTCCTTTAGCCCCCGACCCCCAACAGAAGGATTTCATCTTTTACTGAAGAACAACTCCCAGGGCAGCAGCCTCAAGTTCCTTCTCAGAAGGGGGAAGGAAGGCAGGCAAATGGAGCTGGGCCCACCATGGTGAGGGGCGTCTGCAGCAGCTTGGGTCTTCAGAGCCCCTGCATTCCAGTGTGCAGGGGCCACCTGGGGGGCCGCTCAGTTGTCCACTGGGGCCCAAGGCTCCCGGGCAGCAGAATGCTGCTGGCCTGTGGGCCACATGGCATCTGCAACCAGGGACTAGAGATAAGAAATGCATGCTATATAGGCTGTAAGTCTGACTGCTGGGGAGACGGGTCAGCAAAGGAGCCCTGGCCGAGGCTGGTGGAGGCTGTGATGGGCCTGAGGGCTCCTGAGGGCCGAGGGGAGGAATAAGCAGGACAGGGCCCACTGGGAGCCGCAGCAGATCCACTAGCATCACTTGTCTGCATCCAATAGTCGGCGTGAGTGCAGTTTTAGCAGGTTTGGTGAATTTGGTCTGTGATAAAATTGGAGTTCAAGAAACAAACAGGAAACTACAAGTAAGTGCCCCTTCGCCCCCAGGTCACCCGCATGGCAGGGCAGTGACTACTGCTCTCAGGCTGCCCAGTGTGGACCTGCCTGTCGGAATGCTCCTCCTCCACATTCCCTCGCTCCTGTGTCCCAGCCACGTGCACCTTCCCTCTACTTCTGGGACCCCTGGACCAGGTCTGCCCCTGTCTCCTCAGGACTGCTCCTCTTGGCCCATAGGACCTCAGCTGAAACATTGCCTCCTCCAAGAGGCCTTCCAGACTATTGAGCTCACAGTGGCCACCCAGCCATGCTCTGTCATGTGCTTGGGGATTGTTTGTTACTGCAACATACCCCAGCCCATATCAACACGAAAGCACCCAGTGAAGACCTGCTAAGTAATTGGACAAGAAGACCCTGGAGCTGCCCCCAGGAGAGTAATCACGCTGGATGATTGTGTGTGATGGGGACTTAGGAAGTCATAGTTTAGGGCCACAGTGGGCCTGAGGCATCTCTGTAAGGGTAAGGTAAGCCTCAGGCAAAGGGGGTTTGCATGGAGAACAAAGGTGCTGCACCGACACAGCAGCTCCTATAGGAAGCAGCTTGGGGAAGACCAGTGCAAACCCCCCAACGCACACAGCATCTGAAACATGCTGGGCACATAGAATCTGCTTAAGGAATCAGAGACTAAAAAGATCAGCTTAAAACAAAATAACTCTTCTAAAGACGATTTTATTTATCGTCCCACCCTCACAAGGCACTAAGAGTGTGGCCAGGCAGGCTAGACCGGCTTTTACTGTGTTTCATTCTGCTTGCGTTCACGTTTACTTTTCCTGGATAAGAGAGCATTTGCGAAGCCAAAATGCACTCCTTGAGACTCACACAGCCCCTCCCTGACAGCCACTCAGTACACAGGACGGAGCTGGGTGCCTCCCTTGCACCTTGAACATTCGAGGGCACACAGTACCTGTAGGTGATCCTCACTTCCGTTCCAGGCTCATCGCGCTCCCAGATCAACGCAACGCTCTCGGGGGACTTCCGAACATGCTGGTCCAAGCAGTTGACTGTACAAAAAGAGGGTTTGCAGATGTTACACTTGGTGCTTTTGGAGTGAGAATTCAGCCAGGGTGAGGGATTGGAGCAGGGGTCTAGTTTGCTGTGGCTCTCTCTTCTCCCACTGACAGGGGCCCTGTCCTCATCAGTGATAATGTTTCTACCCGCTTGCAAGGAGAACGGTGAACAAATATGATCTCAGAGGTATAAGGTGATGTCCTGCAAATATTCTGAAGTGGTTGCTTCACAATGGACCCAACCCTGGCTGCATATTGGCATCTCCTGGGCCACCCCTAGAGACCCTACCCAATGGGCCCTGGGCCTTCAAAGCCTCAAAGACACCATGGTTGGTTCTGATGTGCAGCCAGGGCTGGGCAGTGCAGCCTGAGCTGTTGGAAAGAACACTCAGCGCAAACAGGTCATTCCTGTTTCAGGGCTTGGCTCCTGCAGTTCCCATCTGCCCAGTGCTTTCTTGCCCCCAAGGTTAAAGGTGCAAGAAGGGATGAGGACCCAACTCCCCCACGTGTTCCACTAGTACCCAGTAAACCAGCCTTGTTCCAAGAAGTGGCTCGTGATGGGGAAATGTCCTCCTGGTTTTGCAGAAGGCTCAGCTCCCTCCCTCTCCATTACCCAAGCTCCCACACATGACCCTCCAGCAGAAACAGTCAGCTCTGTGGCACACCGGCACACTGTGAGACTGAGGATTAGCAGCACGGGCTCCTCCGCCAGCAGACTGGTCACTACTCATTAGATTCCAAAGCTGAGCCCCTTCTGACAACCCTCAAGCCAGCTCTCTTCACTCACTGGCCCATCGGTGGGTCCCCGGGTATGCAGGGACACGAGCCCCATGATTGGCTTTGGGGGCAGCAGCACCTGCCCACCTGGTCTCTCAGGGTCACCCCTGTATCTTGTTTGTAAATTACACCTCAAAAATGTAGTAAATGAAAACAGATGCCAGGAAAAAATTATTAATACTAGCAACAGACACAAGAAAGTTCTTTGAACTACTATTAACAGAAAAATAAAAGAGAAGAAATGCCCCCAAAATGGAAGAAAATATAAACAAGAAGACAAACTAAGAAGGGGCTCAGTGGCAGACCTGAATTTACACAAGGAACCCGACATCTCTGTGTGTGTTGGGGGAGTGGGCACGCTAACCTCTGTTCACTGTGGTCATGCCAAGTGCAGCATTAACCCCACAATGTTTTGCTGGGTGTTGGGTAGTCTCTTAGGAGCAAAGAGAAGCAGCATACAACCCTGAGATGGTTTAACCCAACCAGTCCTGGGTGCCAATCCTGATCAAGGCACCATGCTGAGCACTGAGGGAAATGCCAGGGCAGATTCGAAACCCCTGTCGTGGGTGCAGGAGACAGATGCAAACGTAAGAAACATGCAAAGTGACCAAACACACAAGGTCGGTGGTGGCAGGCTCATAACACTTGTCCAAACAGGGAAATGGAGCTGAATTTACCCTGGGGAGGCAAACCCTAGGAAGTTAACAGCAGCCTGGGGCTGAAACAATAATTACTGCAAGAGCCTCCACAGAGCAAGCGCCCACACCACCAGCATCTCCCATTACGGATGGGAAAACAGAGGTCCTGAGAAGTTAACCTGCCTGCCCAAGGTCACACAGAGGCGGAGCTGGATTCAACACAGGCAGATTGGCTCCACAGTCTGTCCCACCATCCTACCCTCCAAAGTCACCTGATAACAGTCCAATTCTTCACCAGGCAGTGGAGAACTGCTCTATGCAACAAGTGGGAGGGAAGCAAGCTTTGCCAGTAGTGGGGGAAGAGGGGAGGAGAGAAGAATCAGGCTTGGTCTTACAGACAGGGGAAAGAATAGTGAGGCCAATTCAGGCAGGCGAGAGGAACATGTAAACCCTGAAGGAGATGGAAAAACAACACAACTGCCAGGGAGAAAATTAAAACACAGGTACAGCCGGTATTTGCCAACGTGGTCCCTAGGCTGAGTCCAGTATACAGATGTGCTAAGCACCCTGACCAGGGTGTGTGGGCGTGTGTGTGTGAATCCAGTCCAATATTTACAAATCAAGAGATTTCACATGAAAGCGATGGACTTCTGGCTTCTGAACAATCAGCAGGAGATCATCCCTCCATAGAGGGTCCTATACCCCGCTGCCTGCCTGTCACCTCCAGTGACTCTGGGCAGCTAAGACAAGCCTGGGAATGCCCAGCTGAGGATCGACATTGTCTGCACCCGCCATCCCCCCCAGGAGCTGGTCACAAATGCAAACTGTCAGTCCCACCCAGACCTGCTGAGTCCCAACCAGCCTCATAAGAAGCCCCAGGAGATGTGAACCCACTCTCACATCTGAAAAGCTCTGCCTGACACACTTGCTCCACTCCAAATTTGACCCTGGAGCCCCCGAGAAGAGTGGCCTGCCCAGGCGTAGATGAGAAAATGCCTCTGAATGGCACAGTGACCTACCCAAGGCCCCAGCCAGGACGAAGCAGGAAGGGCTGGAACCACGCTGGACACTTCGCCTTGGCATTCATCTCATTGCTTCACCTGCTCCCACAGCAGCCAGGGCACCAGGACACTTCTTTCAGAGAGAGTGACTGCCCGACTTCAAACAGGCCCTCACAACCTCCCAGCCCAGCATGACATCCTGCACCATTTTATACCAAGCAGGAAGGCAGAGCTGAGGAAGGTGGAGAGGGGCAGGCCAGCCCCAGGATGGACAGCACCCAGGTGCCCCTGGGTGGCCCGTGAGATAAGCCACGTGTCCCTATCTTTCCAGGACTGACAGGTGGCCTGAGTCCAGCAGATCAGAACGGAGCCCCAAACACAGTGTCCCCCAGGTGCCCCACCACATGCAGAAGGTGCTCAAAAAGTGGCCACCAAAGTCCCAGTGACCTGCCTCTCCCTGCTGGCCAGGCCACGTCTGGTGAGCTCCCCTGCCCTGGGGCCTTTGCTGTGACTTCTCCCTGCCTGGGGCGCTGTGCCCTCCTCACACCCACACTGCAGGTCTCAGCCTGACGTGCTCACTCTCCCAAGCACCTCACTGTCCCGGACCCTGTGCATCCCCAACTCTTCCAGATGCTCGCTGCCTGCTGCGCTCCCGAGGGCACCGGCCGAGTGTCCTGCTGGGGTCTGGGTTCAGGTAGCCTAGTCCAGAGCACAGAGCCGAGAAACAGACCACTTGCGTCCTCGAGCCAAAGGGTCCTATTGGGGTGTAACTGGCGACAGGTGGTCCCCTCACACCCAAGGGAGGGAGCAGACCTCTTCTTGTCTTTGTGGCTTCATCCCTCAAGTAGAAGACGCTCTCTTTTTTGGCCCAAATCAGCGCTTCTCAACCTTGAGTGGCATCAGAAATCCCCAGAGGGTGTGTTAGCTGGAGCTGGTGTGCCCCGCCCCCGCTCTGGGCATCTGCATTTCTAACAAGATCCTAGTGATGCAACCGCTGCTGGTCCTGGGACCCGACTGACGATGTGTGCACATGGACCTGCATGCATGTCCACTTTCTATGCAGATGCCAGATTTCCAGTGGTTTTCATTTTCCTCTGGGACAGGGGTGATTACACACACTTGCCAGCCTTGTGAGCCACTGGCTGGCAGCCTGGAGTCATCACTAAAAACTCAGGGTCCAAAGTCCAGCCCCTGTCCAGCCACTCACTAACCACAGACAATGCACGTATCATTTAATCCAAGCCCATTTCCTAATCCTTGGAGTGGGTATAATGATCCTTGGTCTGGGTGGGACTGGAAGGATTAGGTGCCATTGGATTATTGCTGACTGTGGGTCTGATGGAGTCAAGGTGTCCCCAGGAAGACCAACAGAACAACCCTCCCCCCATCTTTGTTCTAGCCACCACGGCTGATGCTCAGACCACACAAGCACCTGGAGAAAGTTCCATGTGGGCTTTGGGGGGACAGTGGCCCTAACACTCATGTGCACATGGCTCTTCGCACATAGTTATGGTTCCTGCTGATGCTTCAATTTCAGGATGAAAAGGCGGAAGGGAGGGGGAGGAAGGAGGTAAGAAGGTGAGGAAGGAGGTAAGAAGGTGAGGAAGGACGGAAAGGAGAAGAGAAGAGGGGAAGAGAGGAAGGAGGAAAAGAAAATTTAAAAAAAAATCTGCCCAAAGAACTGGGCAGTGGGACAAGAAAATTCCATTTCTCAGCATTTCCAAAAAGAGATGGGCAAGGACCTATGGCAATTTAAGGTGTAGCTGAAACTCCACTTCCTATTTCCAGCCTTTCCCAAGTTTCCCAGCACATGATGACCTGTACTTCCCCTGTCAGTGGCCCACACCATTTCACACTGCCCCATGCTGCCCAGTGGTCCCCACTATGGGACACAATGCCATTCCCCAAGGGCAGGGACCATGTCCCTAAGATTCCTTTATCATGGGGACCAGGGTTGGGAATTACATCACAATCCCCCGCCCAGCCCAGTGTGGGCTTACTCATTTACTGACTTATGGTTCATCTCCTCATTAGAATGTGGGCTTTATGGTATTGAGCATTTTCTGGATTATTCATTGCTGTACATGAACTGGAGCCTTTATTTCCACATCTGTGCAATGGGACCACCAACTGCTTCACATTGGTGTCATGAGGATGCGACAAGCCATGCAGAGCAGACGGCCGTCCCGCCAGGGCACTCCATCGCGCTCACAGACGCCCAGGGCCCCGCCCAGGGCCTCACACAGCTGGAGGCAGTCAGCCAATGCCCGTGGCTGGAGCAGGGGCTTGGTATTTTGTTTAAAAAGCATTATAAGAGTATTGGCATTTCCATTATAAACCTGACACACATGTAGGAATCTTCAAGTACTCTTGTTGGTTATTGAAATACATCCCTCACACTCACACACTTTAACTGAAAGTGGAACCCAGCATATGGAAATTCAATTTGAATAGGGAGTTACTATTCACAATGGGCTTTTTTTTTTTTTTTGGAGACAGGGTCTCACTCTGTTGCCCAGGCTGGAGTGCAGTGGCGTGATCTCAGCTCACTGCAACCTCCACCTCCTGGGCTCAAGGGATCCTCTCACCTCAGCCTTCCAAGTAACTGGGACTACAGGTGTGCACCACCATGCTTGGCTAATTTTTTTTTTAAGAGGTAGGGGTCTCACTGTGTTGCAAGGCTGGTCACAAACTCCTGAGCTCAAGCGATCTGCCCACCTCAGCCTCCCAAAGTACTGGGATTCCAGGCATGAGCCCCGGCCCCGGCCCACAATGGACTTTCTTTTAATAGCAGTCTTCCCTGGCACGCTTTGAGATATTACGTCAGTCACAAAAATTGTTTTGGAAAATTTTCCCAGAGCATCTGTTATTTAAAATAAGTTGTGCCCCTGACAGCTGGAGAGGACTTGAATTCCTCAGGAGGACCCTCCTCCTAAGATTAGGGTTCCTTTTTCATGTAGAGTTACCTGAAAAACCTTTAAAAAGTTACTTGAATCACTGGGGTGACTAGGAGGAAAATGAAGCACAGGCACACAGCGTCTTGCCGCCGTCAGTGTCCTGCCTTCTGAACTACTGGAGGCATGCCACAGAGAGGAAACTACAGCCAACAGAGAGGAACTACAGCAAAAGGGCCTCTATTCCTGCAATTAATCTCCAAAAAGCATCCAAGAAATTTCCCAGTGCTCAATGCTTGGTTACAAAGAGGATTTTTACACTCTTGCTTAAGAGTACACACACTGAAAAACATCACTTAAAATAGGGGGTTTAAAAAATAGAGCTTAGCTGTGTGTTTTGAAAGTAACACATGTCATTACCCTCTGGTTCTGCATTTACAACTTCCTGATATCTTGAGTTGATATGCCACAGGGCAAAAACAGCTGCAGAGCCCTACAAAGGACAGAGCCAAATTTCACAGGTGGGAAAGAATCTCTTTTAGAACCTGGCTCTCCAAAGAACCTTCTGCAAGGCAGTTTTACACAACAGAAGCAAGTCACAGAAGGGCACAGACACTCTGTCTACCCTGCCCAGTGGGCCTCAGACACCATAACCTCGTCTGGCTATGGGAGTTGCGGGATGGGCAGGATACTGTGGTGTTTTGAAAGCCACCTCAGCCACCTGCATGCTCTCCAAAGCCTATTCCCCACCTATCCCAGGCTGATCAGATGCAAGCTCATGTGGTCCAGTTCAAATGAAGCTCAGCTCTCTCAGCAGCACTGCTGAAGGCCAAGCACAAGGTCATAGCCTCCCCACATGCTTCATTAATAAATAACAAATGGCCAGTGATTGGGGATGTATAATGTGTTAAGAAAGTGCTGAGTGCCTTACAAGCGTTTTCTTATTTCATTCTAACAGCCCTGGGATATGTGTGCTGACAGATACTCCGATGGATAACAAAACAGGTGCAAACAGTCAGGTCCCCTTTCCCAGGTCAGAAGATGTCTAATAGTGTCTGTGCTGGTCTCTTAGACCTCTGATTGCCGGACATTGCCTGGGCCCAGCCACCATGCTGTGACAAGCCCCAGGAGGTGCTTTGGGTCACAGGTCTGGCTGAAGTCAGCCTGCAAGTTGTCCCAAACCAGGCCCCAGACTTGGGAGTGAGAAACAGGCAGATGACTCCAACCTCAGACATTGAGGAGCAGAAGCAAGTGTTAAATAAAATGTATAGGAGGCCACTGGTCTGGACTGAGCCGCATCAGGCCCAATAGATCACACAAAAATGGAGTCACTCTTGCTAAAGTGCCGTGTCACCAAATGGAAACTAAATTGTTTATCCAGCCTTCTAAGAAACAAGGAGAGTGAGAGATAGCTAAATCTCCAAACAAGCTGGCGTAGTAAGGGAGCTCCTTCCACTTTCACCTTTACAGCAAAAGTAGCTTTGAAATAACCAGTCCACTTTTTGTTCTCCGTGTCCGCATTCTTCAGACCCTTCTGTCTATAAAACCATCCTCCTCTGCTCAACTCATCAAACATTCATTCTGTTTTATGGAATTAGGTGTTTCCCAATTCTATAATCACGAAAAAAGTGAATTAAGATCTTTAAACTAAATTTGTCGGAATTTTGCCCTTTGACACAAGTCATCCCCATCTGGCCCTGTCCAAAGTTCTGACCCACAGACTCTGCGAGGAATATAAAATTGTTGTTATCTTGTACCACTAAGCTTAGGGGTGGTTTGATGTGCATCGATAGTAACTAGGACATAATTCAGTTACATACTGCCCTTGTTTTACAGATGAGGAAACATGCAAAGTGCAGTACAGGGAAAGCAAGAAATCAACCCGAGTCCTGATTCTAAAGACACCTGGAGCCACGAAACGGTGTTGCACCATCCACAGCCCATTGTTTGTTTGCTCTTTGTTTAACAGGGCCATGGCCGGGCACTAATCCCAATTCCGTTTCAGAAGTGCCTTCATCTGCCCTGTTTTGAGGCATACAGACCAGTGGTTCTCAAGCCCGAGTGTCCTCTAGAGCACCTGAAGGGCTCGTTATAAACACAGGTGTCAGGTCCCACCCAGGGTTTCTGATTCCAGATATCCAGGATGGGCTCCAGAATTTCTGTTTCTCAAAAGTTCTCAGGTAATGCTGATGCTGCTGGTCTGAGGACCATGCGTTGAGAACCACTGGTATTCTTGAAGGAGTGAGGTGAAGTTTTCTTCAAGAGTGATATTCCTTTGGAACAAGCCATCTGACTTTATCACACACAGCTGACAGATCAGGCCAAAGTGTTCTCACCTATCCCATGACTTTCTAGGGGCTCCCAGAGGAGTCATGGCCTGGCCTGGCCCTTTTTCATACTGTCCCCACTATGGTTTGCAGACACCGGCAAAGGAAAGAGATATTGCTGACCCATGAACAGGTGGGCACGCACATCCCGGGGAGAAAGTTGCTGAAAAGCTGTTTTTCAAGTTAGTTTTCTGAAGCTCAATTTCTGGCTAAGGTAGCCGTAAAGGCCATATTATCAGGAGAAATAAGTGAAGCAAAAGGAGACAGAAGAATGCTTGCTGACCACACCCTGATCCTGACCCAGCGAGGTTCAGAAGGTCCTTGCTGTTGGCCCCAGGAGGTCCGCCCCGCTGTCTTATCTGAGTGGGGCTGCAGCTGTGCACAGGCCAACTGTGAATGTTCCCCATGACCTTGGCCTCACAAGTCCAGAGCAGGTCACTTTCCATTTCTGTCCTTGGGCAAGCTGCTCTAGTCCCCTTCAAGGGCACATTGCACCAACTCTGCAAACCAAAGGGTTTGGTTTTTTCCCCAGTAGTTAGAGGGCACTTGCTGCTGACTCAAGGTTAAAGAAAACACTTATCTAGTAAGTGACTCATTTTAATTAAACCAGCAAAGTAATATACAATATCGGGGGGAGGTCCAAAGTTCCTTTCAATTTCTTTGAAAACTAACTACAAGACACTACCTACAACTGTATGGCTATATCTGAAGTTAAACTAAAATCGCTACTGCCTATGGGTCACCAGTAAGAGCTGGGTCTGCTGCATACCTTGCAGCACTCAGCCTAACCTCTGAGCATGACTGCCCCCATCCTCACAATGTGGACACTGAGGGCTAGCGGGGCAGAACAACAGGGATAACTGAGGGAGGAGCTGGAGAAAATGGGGCCCTGGTGACCCTGCCATAAAGACCCTCAAGTCCTTTCTCAAACTCCCAAATCCAGCAAGCTGGTTACGGCCACCCTTCTGGCCTGCATCCCTCTGATCAACACCGTGTCTGCCAGGCCCTCCCCGCAGGCCCCACACCCAGGCCCACCCTGCATCCAGGGCCCACCCTGCACTTGGCACCCACCCTGCGTGGCCAGCCCTGCCTGCAGTTCAGGGCTTCCCCCTCGCTGCCCAGTCAGCGCCTTAGGTGGGGGCGAGGGTGCGGTGTACGACCCCCAGCCCCAAATCTTAGCAGAGCAGCAGAGGCCTCTGCTCAGCAAGTTTCAGACCACTGACCACCGGGAACCTCAGACCCCGCGGGTCCAAAGCAGGCCTTGGGTCGCTGGGGTGCAGTTCTCTGAGGCCGAGAACGAGAACCCGGAGGCCGCTGTTACTTCCTTCCCGCCCACAGGCCCCAGGCCCGCAGCGAGGAAATAACTGGTTCCAGCTGCCACGCCGGGTTTCCTCCTCCCCAGGTCGCCCGCCACAGCTCTGTTTGTTTATGTGGGTAGGGCTTGTCCTCAGGCTGATCCCCGGGCACCGCAGCCCCCAGTGACAACCGCCACCGCTTTGTTTTTCCGTCCACCCCGGTATAGCAACGGGAAAGTCCCGACTCCAGGGCGCTCGGGTGTAGCCCGCGGCTCCCCGCCGGCTCTGGCTCCGCGGCGCTATGCACCCGGTAACGCAACTCTGGAGTCAGCAGAGCGAGGAGCCGCGCCGAGCAAGGCCAGCAGCGGGGCGTCCCAAGCGGCCACCGGGTCCCCGCGGGCACCGGCCCGAGCTGGGCACGTGGATCTGGGGCCGGATGGGATGAGGGACGGGGTGACGTGGAGCCACTGCTTAGAGCTGGCGGGGCGGACGGAATACCGGAGGAGGGGCCCCTGCAGGGGTGCGATCTGCGCAGCCCGGGGACGGCTGCCGCAGGCGAGAGGCTCCGAGTTCCCTCTGGACGCAAGAGTTGGGGGCGTCCTGAGTCTCCCGAAGCCCACTCACCAGAGACGTTTAACTGGCCTCCCAGGAACCAGCCAATCTTGCCAGTGCTGAAGTCGCAGTCCCAGACGGTGTGGTAGGGGGTGTCCCACAGTAGAGTGTCCCGCGCCAGAGGCCCCCAGAAGGCGGCCGGCTCCCGGGCTGCCTGTGCACTCAGCGCGGGGTACAAGCCGGGCTGTGAGGCTGCGGCAACTGCGGGGGCGCTGCCCGAGGGTCCCGAGGCCGCCCTGCGCGGCGCGCTCACCCGACACAGCGGCCGCGCGGGCTGCCCCGAGAGCCCTCGCAGGCTGCCCAGCAGCCTCCCGACGCCGCGGCCCAGGCTGCGCGCCGCCATCTAGCCCGACTACCTGAGTTGTCTG